AGAGAGAGAGAGAGAGAGAGAGAGAGAGAGAGTTTTGTTCCGTTTGTTGATACGAGAGAGAGAGAGAGAGAGAGAGAGAGAGAGAGAGAGAGAGAATGGCAAAATTAAATATGGGTCAAATTGCGGCCGCGATCTGGGCTGGGCCAACCTCCCAGCCCTAATGGAAGCGGAAGCGTACGGGAACCTGGGACGCCAGGCTCATGCAATCTTCTACAGGCCCAATTCAGAGAGTCTACCCAGCTGGACACATCCTACCGTCCTTCCCCTAGCTTACCCAAGGCTAGGCGGAACTCAGACTAGCCGGAGCGACTTATATCCCTACCCTACCCTACCCTAGAGCTAAGCCATGCATGCGTAGACATATACCTGATTGAAGAAGCAGGGGCCCGTTTTTCGTTTGGGCCTCGAATTCCCGCCTGATGTATGCCAAGATGCGCCTGGCAGAGCGGAATGGCCCTCTGACAAAAACAATATTTTCTGTAATACCCCTGGCGTCAGTTGGACCGTCAACTTGGCAATATACCCCTATCGGGTGATTTCCAAGTTCGGAAAATGCCCCGGTACTTGCCAAGTTTTCCAAGGCCCTGTTGAAAAGGCCAGCTGGCCAGGTGCACATTGCAAATTTCCACACCCGCCTGCCTGACAGGGGCATAACACAACGATTTCGGCCCAAACGCTCTACCCTCATCTTTCAGGGGCATTTTGACATGTATCTTAACTTATGGGGGTATTTCGCAAATTGTACCCCAAAAAAGTGACAAAGGAAAACCAAGGCAACGGAAGACCTTGATAGTTGACAGGGGCAGGAGAGGAGATTGCATAATGGGCACTCACTTCAGCGGCCAAAAAAAAATCCCAGTGGAGGAGAAGCCACGGAAGGCTCGAGTACTACGATCGAGTAGTAGTTGGCAATGGAACAAGGTACCCAAACCTTGCTTGCTAATGGTGTTGAGGCCCTCCTACTCCCGCGCAACTCACTGCGCTCTCTTTTCTTTCGATCTACTGTGCAATCAACGACCATTTACCTCTCGCATCTCTCTCTCTCTGTGTGTGTGTGTGTGTGTGTGTGTGTGTGTGTGTGTGTGTGTGTATGTGCGGTTCGTTGCCCACCGCTTGCGCCTTCTCTCTCTCTCTCTCTCTCTCTCTCTCTCTCTCTCTCTCTCTCTCTCTGTGTGTGAGAATCTGTGTTCTTCGCCAACCATTTGTCCGCTCTCTCTCTCTCTCTCTCTCTCTCTCTCTCTCTCTCTCTCTCTCTCTCTCTCTCTCTCTGAATCCGTGTTTCTTTGCCTACCATTTGTCCATTCTCTCCCTCCCTACCTCCCTCCCTCTCTCTCTCCCTCCCTCCCTCCCTCCCTCCCTCTCTCTCTCTCCCTGTCTCTCTATTTCTCCCTCCCTCCCTCCCTCCCCCCCGCGCACCCTGCATCTCGCATGGACACAAGCGCGCACACAAACACATAAGGCTGTGTTATGGGGTAAGAAGAGAATAGTGGAGCGCAATGACTCAGAAGGAAAAGCAGATGGAGAAGCAGAAGGAAAAGCACTGGAAGAGAAGAAACGACTCAGAAGCGCAATCACGCATATCCACTCCTACCTTGGGGGGGCGTGAATACTGAAATAGCACATTGACTACGAAATTTTATAGAGAAGGAAAGCCACCAATGGGCCAGCAATGGGCCCCGACCCTGAAGTCGCAGCTTCCCCGTCATCAGCTCCTTACACTTTCTTTCCACCTACTCTCTCTCTCTCTCTCTCTCTCTCTCTCTCTCTCTCTCTCTCTCTCTCTCTCTCTCTCTCTCTCTCTCTCTCTCTCTCTCTCTCTCT